ATGGGTTTCAAATTCCTGTAATTTGCCCATACCTGCTAAAAAACCTAAGTCTCAGAAATGTCTCTTTTATTGAAATGTTGCTATAATTGCTAGCAATTCTTCATTGGAAAAAAAACCCAAATAGACTCAGCCAGGAGTCTAGAAGGAATCTAGAATAAAATGTGCAAGGAAACATCCTCTTCTTCATCTGCTGAAGCCTGAAGAACAGTGGCTATGCATATCTCAAAGCGTCAGCTTGTGCCACAAAGAAATGCTGGGATTCTTTTGGGAGTTTTTTTTTTTTACAAGATTAAAATCCAACACCCCCTCCCCCCAGAGGTGGTATTCAGCAGGTTCTGACAGGTTCTGGAGAACCAGTAGTGGAAATTTTGAGTAGTTCAGAGAACCAGTAAATACCACCTCCAGGAATGGGAAGAGAATGGGGATTTTGCAGTAACCTTCCCATGGAGTTGGGAGGGTATAGGGATTTTGCAGTATTCTTCCCCTGGAGTGGGGTGGGAATGGAGATTTTGCCACAGCCCTGCCACACCCACCAAGCCACGCCCCACCAAGCCCCACCCACAAAACCAGTAGTAAACATTTTTGAATTCCACCGTTGCAACCCCTTCCCCCAAATTGAACAGAGATAAAACAAAGCTAAACAAAAAACATTGGAGGGAAATTTTAAAAAGGACAAAACCACATATTATTCCCCCTAGTTGAACATTGACAAATTTATGGCAACAATAATAGCTTCCCCCTTTGCAGAGCAGATCCAAAATTTATCCGTTTGTACATCTATTTGCAATCCAACTGACCTGCCATGCATTACATATGTGAAATAAAAAAATAGGTAACAGGTTAAACAACAGCAAAGTTAAAATTCAAAGCACTCTGTTAACAGGCTGCTTTGTGATCTACTGGTAGAAAATCTACACTGTTTCTTATTACAAATCACCTATATCATTAACTCTGATTCCAGAGTCAAATGCCCTCATTGGATTCTTAATAATAAAACATTTCTTTAGGTTGTTAATTGGAAACTTTACCAACAATTGCTTCTCACTTCCAAGTCATAAATCTGTTGTAAATACCATATATCTGCAAAATCCCTTGTTGAATAATTCTCCTTAACAACACAGCATTCTTTTAGCCAAGAAAGTCCAGTCCATCTTTCATCATATCTATTATCTTGGACTTTCTATTATTTGTATTCTTTTCAATATTTTCTGATGAGCCAAACACTTTTTTCTTCATCTCTGACAATGAAAAATCAAATTCCAATTCCTCAAATGGCAAATAAGGTCCAACTGTTATTTCCTAATTTTGGATATCATCTTGGGTTTGCAGAACCATTAGAGAGACATCATTTTTTTGGTTATATTTTCAAATAAAATCTGTAAGTTGGAGAGCATTCTTTTTTTCAATTGTCTCTCAAAATAGTTGTTGTATATCTTTTTGAAAGCATATGAAACACTTTTTGTTCTCTCTTCAAGGACAAGAGAAGCAGGTTAGTAACAGTTTCCCAGGGAACATTTTTCTTTCCCAAGGTTAAAGAAAGGGAATTTTTCCCATCAAAAATTAAGAGGTAAATATCAAAGCTCTTTTAAAAAAAGAAAAAGAAAAAAGCTACAAAGAGCACAATTTGTGGTATAATCCTGAATAGATGTATCGGTAAGTCCACCACAACTTCTTTACAGTTAAAAAATAATTTTGAATTTAATGGTGAACATTAAATGAAAAAGCAGGGAAAAAATTCTAAAAGTCCATCAAGGGATTATAAAATAGGTCAAAAGTCACCTAATAATAAATCAAAATATTTTAAAGCATAAAAAGTACAATTAAAACCCAAATGTGCTTAAGAAAAATGAGCAGCTGAAGGGAAAAAGTAGAGACCAGAGACCAGACCTTCCAATTATTATTTACAGAGAATTGCAGGCACCCAGGCTTTCTGTTCTTTGCATGATAGTTGGAAGGTTGTCTTTGGTCCTTACTAGTGTCCCCTTCAAAAAATGGGAAGCAAAGCCACCAAATATCCAGCTTTGGTGGCAAAACCAGCTATTTGTCACTGGGAGGAAAAGAATCTCCTGTCCATCCAACACATCACGTTGGGGGAGGGGCCAGGATGCTAGGATTGAGCTGAAGAAGCAGAGGCAGAAAGGAGAAGACATTTCACAGCCTCAGAGGCAGCTTGATGTTAATCAGAGAACACTTAAATTGGTGCTATTTTTTCAGGAGTTAAGTTGGTAAACTTTAGCACTTGACAAAATCAAGAATGGAATGCCTGCAAAAGTTGGCAAAGCCCCCAAAACACTAGATGTATTTAATAATTCTAAGTGCCTGCCCTGCAAGAATGGATTGAACCTTTGCAGGATCCACTTGACCTCTTTTCCTAGAAATCAGATAATCTAAACAGTCTAAGACTGGAAAGTTAAATACATTTACAGTGTAAATGTATTTAACTTTCCAGTCTTGAACTGTTTACAGCTTAGCATGCAGTTTGTATTTGCAGAGGTGCAGTTACACATTTCTGACCTGAGTAGAATGGATAAAAACAGTTTCTGGGGATAAAAACCAAAACATTCAGAGGTAACTGCGATATATTTGTACAGAATATCTATTAATCTCTTATTCATTAATTTAAAAGAGACTTCTGCTGGACAATAGACCAAAGAGCACTACCGTGTACTGAAACTTTCCATACAAATGTCAAAGGCTCTTAAGTGTTTGTGATCGCCCTTTATCCAAATCAAATGGAAAGTTCCTCTCAAATCAAGTCAGATTGACTGAAAATGCATGCCTTCTGATACATGGTCCAGCAGATGTGAAAGAAGAGGCAGTGAGTAGTGATTGCTAATTGTCACAAATTGGGAAATCTATCATCATGGACTAGACTCAAGACTTATTTTCTTTTCTATAAAAATAGCAATGCAGATGCAGGAGATGATGAGGGAATGAATTCTTTCTTCACACTGCTCAGAAACTTCTTTAAAACTGTTAACCCTTAAACTGACAAGGGATTTTGTCATCTAACTGTGATCTGGGCTGCAAAAAGCAAGTTGATAGTGTAGTTATATGCCCAATGAGAGGCAAAGAGTAGCTAGCTTCCTATTCTCTAAAAGAAAAGCTGTGAACTGCCCCCCCTTTAATCTCTTCCATGCCTCAATTCTTCTAGCATGCCAGCAATCACCACACAACATTGAAATAACTCTTCCAAGATTCTAGGTGTGCCTTGTCATGCTAATTGATCATAGTAGTCAGAAAGACCTTTCCAAAACTGGTTGATGAAGGCAAAATCATTCCAGCACACATTCCTAGCATACAAATTATAAATCTCCCAATTAGCAGCTCATCTTCTGGGTAATCACCAAGGAAAGTTCTAAATTACTTAAATCTTAATAGTTTTCTAGGATGGCATTGTCCCATCATCCTATCTGGCCTCACTTTGACCTGATCTGCAGAAAATTTTGTTGATCTGCTGTAAAAGAAAATGTATTAATTACTGAATACTGAAGCTTGGGGAAGTCTCCTGAGCCCCCTGAACTTCCCTGGCAGGCTGCCAGGGCAATGAAATATCACCAGCAAGAGAGCAACCTGTGGGATTGCTTTTAGGCTGTGGTTGATCCAAATGCTGTGGTTGATCCAAATGCTGTGGTCTCGGCATCACAACAGACTACAAGCAGATGATCTCTCTATCTAACGATGTCTCCACAACTTGCTCTGCTGACAGTGATCTGTAGCCATAGTTTAGGCCCAGAATGTTTGATCTGATGCCTCTCAGAGAGAGTGTGAAAGCTTTCCAGACTGAATCAAGTTCTTCAAGGCTAGGAAATCCAAAAAACAAGAATCATTTGGATTTCTAGAATGAATTTTATTGCTAGTGGAATAAATATAATATATACTTGAAAGCCTGTCAAAGCAATTTTCTAAATTCACTTTTACCTAGCTGGTGTAAGGAAGAGTATTTACAGTCTTTCTCTCAATCTCCACCCGACTAAGGAGTCTTTTCTCTAATGGTCTAACTCTCTCCTCCAATGACTTGTTCCTTCCTCTAGGTTCCCAAGATCTGTTAGTCATTCCATGAGATTTCAGTAATTAAAGTTTCCCAAAGTCATGGCTCTTTGAAAGATCCAGAATTTCCTTTGGAAGGCATTATGCACATCCTCTCATTGGATGGCTGATAGTGGACGCCAATGATATTATTGCTCTTATTAATTCCTTCACATTTTAACTTAGATGTCATTTACAATATTGCCAAATTTATTTACTCAAGATTTCTGAATAAATATACTTTATGTATCTGGAACTAAGGAGAAATTTCCTGACAGTGAGAACAATTAAACAGCTTGCCTCCTGCAGGTACTCATTGGGTGAAGGTTATCAAGAAAAGATTGGACATTCCATTTGTCCAGGTTGATATAAGGAATTCTGCCTTGGATGGGAGGAGGAGGGTTGGACTAGAAGACCTCCAGCCGTATGAACAAACTATCTGCTTCCACTGTTATATTCTAATCATGGGACTAATTACAGCAGTGTGTTGTTCCTTTTAAATCCAAAGGTGTCTGTAAGAGCTGATGTTTTGTCAAAATATCCAAAGCAGTATCCCATTGCAATAAATGAAAGTCCTTCATATTCTTCATAGTTCCTATCAAAGATTCAGAGCTTCTGATACAATAGGACAATGTTTTCAATATTTGACTCCTAAGATGATGATTCACTATTCCTCCTTTTCTCTATGTGAAATATTAAATAAACCTTGTTAATTTTGCATTTCAAGAAACAAAAGCCACAAACTTTATAAGTCAGTGCTGTAATTTTTGATTGATTGTTTTAATGGAGTGCAGTACATATTCTTCCAGTATAGTTTGGTATCTGAGGACTTCACCCTTAGGATTTTCATTTAGGAACTCCCAAAAATTCAATTTAAAGCTCTCCTAATAATTTTTGTCACACTTCAGCCAAACATATTTTACTGGTTCTTTTGAAGTTTAATGCTATTTAATGCTAGCAGTACATCATTTAAATATGATGATCCCCGACACCAAATTTTCTCATCAACGTTATTTCTGAAGCTAGTTATTCATCTGAAATACTTTTTCACTTTCTGCTCGGCTTCCCTGAACAGTGGACTAAAATACTGCCTGAACCTCAACTTCCGAGATGTCAAATTACATCAGAAGCAGTTGTAGATATTCTTTAATGTGACATTTCTCTCCATTGAATTAGCAAGATAATTATTAATCAATTTCATAAGCCTTAGGATTTTTATCACATCGATAGTACTTATGCTTGGCATACAGCATCTATTATAAGCTGATAGGTCCAATTGCGATGTATTTCACTTCCACTTGATAATATATCAGTAATTCCCAGTAACTCTTCGCAGCTATATTCCCTCTGCTCTTCAGCCTGTCTTTTGTTTCAGTGTCTCTTTTTTCTTTCTTTGAAGCATCAAGCATGGTTTCTTCTTTGAGGACCTGAAAACTGTTTTTGTGATCCAGTAATGTAGAGTATCTTCTACTTCTCATACTTCTGGCAGCCACTGTAATCTATTGGCCTTGCTCTTTTGTCTAATTATCTCGGTTATCTCAATTTCTGGAGTAGTCCTTGCTTTTTCTGATCTGGTACTTTCTTGTCTCTCAGCAGCTGAAATTGACTATTTGCTGCTCCAATCCTTATTTAAACAGCTAAAAGGTTGTACTGGCTCCAGATATGTGCTAAAACGTTTTCAGGCAGTGATTAAGAAGCATATCATCATGTGCATAATACATTTCTCTGCCCAAGTTTAATTGAGTAAAAATAGAAATTTGATATCGCTAGCTAAAGCTGATACATATTTGTATATTATGTAATTACAGAATTATGTAATACTGTAATTCAAGGTCACTTGTAGGATTAAATTTTAGGCTGTACCTAGACTGATATAGAACTAGAAAGCTCAGAGGCAGAGATTCAAGGACATAGTTCTTGATAAGACAGTTTTATTACAGATACTAATAAAGCTATTAGTATCGAGTAAACCAATTCCATGACTCATACCAATAGTGTCACATCTAGTACAGTCAAGATTCAAATCTTATGCCTCTTCTTTCTACTTGTGTGCCAGAATAATTGGCAGAGGGCCATGCACTGTATTTATAATAGACCAATTTAGATTTAGGCCCTTTGCTTCTGATCTTGCAATTTCTAAATCTCACATTAAGCATCATTCATTGTGGGCTCAAATTGAAACTTTCCTTGCATTACCGGTAATGCTGATATTTATTAAGACTGAAAGCAGACAAAAAAAAGAAAAAAAAAGAACAGCACCTCCACTGAGCCTTGTCCTATCAATTCCTTAAAAAGTGAGGTGGTTTAAAATAAAGCCAAGGAGAAGCTGCATCTTTTTACTTATTTTTTAAAAATCTGTTTTACTGCTTACTTTATCATATCCTCATTTAGTAGAAAATACTAATAAAAAGGGGAGAAGAGAAATAAGTAAAAGGGAGATAGGAAGTAAATGAAGAACAGGAAAACAGTTAAGTTCTATCAAATCTAACAGTTTTTTTTTAAATCTGATAATTGATAAGAAGTATTTGACCTGGAATTTTTCCTTATTGTTTAACAACAGTAATTACAAATTCATTGTATAATGTATGATTTCCAGAATGGCAAGCTAAGCTACTTAAAATGAATGGTTAAGTTATAAACAATATTCACTTTGTGCTTTATACATCATGAGAAATTTACCATTTAAAATTGACCAAAGAAAAATAAGAGGAATGAAAAAAACAAAGAAGCAAATCTAAACAGGGATACGGTATATGGTTATTTCAGTTACATGCTTGAACTTAGTTACAGGCTTAATTATCCAAGAGCATGAATCCAAGAAATGTGCAAAAACTTCACTAAAGTAGTAGGAGAATATGGAGTTACATCCATTCAATCATAATCTGAGAACAAACAGATGCTTAAACAAATGTAAGTGAACAGGCAACACCAAAACTATAGTACGAAGGATGTTTTTCCTCAGTAGTTTGTAGTCCGTGTTATGTGGGGGAATAGTGCAGGTTTCTGAGACGGGCTAATTCCTGATTGGCCTTTATAGTCTGGTTAATAAGATATTCACTCTCTTGTCCCACCTCTGCCAGTCTGAGATCAAATTCCACTACTGTCTTGTTATCGGACATGCCTTCCATCAATTGCTTCCCTCCATCCTGAAACCAATAGAGAGACTTAAGATGAAGACCAAAATAGCCTTTCACAACCTAAATGTTACTTTAAAATGTACAAAAGTAGCCTGAAGATCATTTTTCTTGACATTCCTTTTGAGATATTGTAAAATGTGAACATACTTTCCCCCAATCCATAACTCATTTTCACCTAATGCCTCTAAGAAGTTTCTATAACTGAACTCTTTTCCTGGTATGTTATGCTAGGAAAAAATGGGTCTGGCTTCATTCTAGCTCATTTCCAGTGTTTCTCTGAACTTTCACGGCACTCAAATTATTTCCCAAAACCTAGACTGGGATTATTCCCTTCCTCTGGGGGTGGTCGGAGGCTTTAAACTCTTTTGTGTGGGGAATCAGAACAGCCTAGAATATTTCTCAGGGCAGGCTCAGCTGCACTGAATCATTTTTAAGGTCAAGAACAGAGTAAAAGGTAGTTTGGGTATTTTTTTTATTCTGAATTACTGTGATCCCCAATCGGTGTCCATGAGGCCACCCTTTTGCCAGCTTTCTGCAATTTAAAGATAACTGCTCATATAATGGGTTATGGATTATGCTCTCAGTTGTGAAGATGCAACGACAGCTAGATATTCCTACTGCTTCATTATGTTGTCAGAAGATAATAAAGGATTTACTTAAAAAATACTAAGTGGATGTGGTAGGCAATTCTCAAAGCTTTGACATGCCAGAAGAAAGAGTAAAAAAATCCATTAACTCCTTCAATTCTAATGCACCTAATTCAGGTTCATAAAAACAATATTGGCATAATGCAAATTATCAAATGACACCATGACACATGCACCACTAGACAGGTTTTAAAGGCAGTGACCAAGTAGTCAGGAATATTATTGATACTGAGGAATGAAATCAAGCCGGTGATCCTTTGACAGGAGCCGACGTGTCTTCATTAATTCCCTGTTCTGAATTCTATTACTGTTCTGAATTCTATGCTTTTAAAATAAAGAAATCAATCACAAAGTTAGATTAATTGTTATATATAATAGTCATCTGGAAATGGAGAATACTTCTCCTTTGTATTTACATTTGTATTTTTTACACTAAATCTTATCGGCTATCAAAAGATGTATTGCCATTTCTTGAAAACCTAGTTAAATGCATAGAAGGTATCTTATTGATATTTTAGTTGTATTCTGAAATTATATTAATGTTATAATGAATGTTGCATTACGTATTTGGTGTATAAGTTACTGGGATGCTGATAGGTTAAATCAGGGGTCCCCAACCCCCAGTCGGTGGACCAGCACTAAGCTGTGGCATGCCAGCAACTGGGCTGTGCATGTGAAGCTCCACCTGTGGTACGCAGGCAGCATGTGAAACCACACCCCTTCCGGTCCATGAAAAAACATCTCTCCATGGAACTGGTCCCTGGGGTCCAAAAAGTTGGAGGACACTGGTCTAAATACTGGTTTGACTGCCAAAATAGGGAAGAGGCATGCACTGAGAATCAAGCAATGTCTGAAATCCAAGGCAAGCAGCAAAATGCTTCTGTTGAAAAACCAAACTTGGCAAATGCATGCAACTTAATGTTACAATGAAAATATTATGGAAATAATGTTTTAACCTAAGTAAAGTTGTGTCTAATGCTGAATTGCAAAAGTATGTACTTACAGAAGTAAACCAGACTGATTTGTTCACTAATTTGATTCCTGCAACAAAGATAACTTCTGCAATATAAAGGTTTAGCCTATAAGCCTGGAGCTACCCAGGTCAACCCATTTTTGTTATCATGTCTGGTTCTCAGAAACTCCTTGGAAAAGTCCCTGCAGTTTTCTTGGAAAGTTTTTTTAGAAGTGGTGTGTCATTGCCTCCTTCCTAGGACTGACCAGCCCAAAGTCACCCCATTGGCATTGTGCCCAGGTTGGGAGTAGAACCAGGTCACCTGCTTCCCAGCCTGAGGCCTTCATTATTACACCAAACGTGCTCTCTAGGTCCACCTTTAATCTGCCACAGAATGATAAAGAAATGATAAAGATATTTGACTACATCTGAATAGAATATATTGTATTTTAATCTGCAGATACAATTGCAAGTCGAATGGACTATTTTCTAAAAACAAAAGCCAAATTCAGATCAAAAAGACTCCTTATTGGGTCAGATAGTTCTCAAATAGTTCTCAACTTTCTCAAATGAGATAGTTCTCAAATAGAGTTCTCAAATGAGAACAGTAATGCTGGGTCACCTGGCTCCTCCTCATATTGCTGGTTGCTCAGCTATCTGCTCTGCTTTCTACATAAGTGCTATAGGAAGTGGCACGGAGGTATTTTCTTGCTTTGCTGCCTATTTTGGGCCTGAGGCACTTTACCAAATAACTGTCTAATGTAGAAAGGGATGTTTTATTGCAGCGGCTCTCAACCTTTTGGGCCCCCGGCAGGGCTAAGCTGCTGGGGGTTCGCAGGGGTTCAGAAGAACCTCTAGCTAAGATTCTGTGCAGTTCGGAGCACTGCACAGTACCCTAACCCTGCCCAGGAGTCCCCACAGGGCCTGTTTTGGATGCAGGTAAGTGCAGGGCGCGCACAGAGGCTCAGGGAGGATGAAAAGCGAGCCTATGGGAAGTTCAGGAAGGCCAGAAACAGGCCCGTTTCCAGCCTCCAGAGAGCCTCCAGAGCCTGGGGAGGCTGTTTTCGCCCTCCCAGAGGCTCGAGGAAAGCCTCTGGAGCCTGGGGAGGGCTAAAAGAGCTCCCCTGCCGTGGTGCAGAAGGCTGACTAGGGCACGCCCACTATGACCACGCCCACCCAGTAACCAGACATAGAATCCCTTGCTAAAAATTTTGAAGTCACCCCTGGTTCCGTGGAGAGAGGTTTTTCCACGGATGAGAGAGGGTGCGGCTTTGCATACTGCCTGTATCCCATGGACTGGGCTTCGCTTGTTTGTGCAGCCTGGTTTCTGGCATGCCATGGACCAGTGCCAGTCCATGGATCAGGGGTTGTGGTCTACAACCCCTGTTTTAGAGGTCCTGGCCAAGAAATACTCAAGGACTCCAGGCCCCAAAAAAGATACCTTACTTTTTTCTTTATCAGAATAACCTTTATCGATACTCTTATTTCTCAGGGTTTCCCACTGGCAGATCTTGCATTAAAAATCCTGCGTATTTTTTTAAGACAGCCATAGATTGATGAGAAGGAGGTAAGGCTTTATCTATTGGCTTGTTTTCTACAGGAAGAAAAGTCAACTGCTCTCTGCTAAGAACCTGACTCTGTAATGCCTTTTATGTCTGGGAATTCTCCAGAATGTCTAAGCCAGACCAATTTCCTTCTCAACCAATATTATGTCCCAGTTTTATCCTCCAAATCTAACTTTGTGACAAGCTTGTAAGACAATACTTCAAAAAAATCCAAGCACTGTGTAAAAAACATATACTCCCGTTTCAGAAAGGTTACCTACTAGTCCAATGTGATTGCAGGAGAGGTTGATATGAGACAAAGTAGTGTTCTGAGCCAAGACTTGAGAGAAAAGAGTAGCTGTTGGCTCTGATAATTCATTGCTACCCAAGTGAAGAGTTGTTAGTGTGCTGTTAAGTAGCAGGGCATGGCAAATGGCTTGGCCTCCTTCATCCTCAATGCTGTTGAGGCGCAAATCGAGGGATGTCAAAATAGAATTCTTGGATAGTGCATGAGCTATAGCCTGGGCTCCTTGAGCTCGAATCCTGTTATCACAGATGTTAAGCGTTACCATCTTACTGTGGTTAATTAGCTTGCCAATAGCTCGTGCTCCTCTGTCTGAAATCAAATTGTGGGATAAGTTTAATTCTTCCAAAGAAGGGTGGTCTAATAGGTGTTGGATCAGTATCCTGGCTTTATCATCATCCACTTTGCTTCGGGTCAGCTTGAACACCTGCAAAAACACAATAAAGTCACAAGGATTTATAAAGATGTCAATATATTTCCAATAAGACACCACCACCCCCGCCCTAGATGCCTAAAACAAGGGTGGGAAGGGTGCTTGATGGCTAAGGGCAAAACTTAATATTTTTGGAACAGTTGAGGATCAGGTCAAGTACATCTGTGAAACGGGGTGGATTTGGAGGAGAAAGGAATGGATCCCCCCCCTCCCCCCACCCATGATATGCTTATTTATAAAGTGGAAAAACTGGTGAGAAACTGTGGAATAAATTTTAAAGAATTATGGTTCAGGGGGTGGGCTTCGGCCAAAAAATGAGGATTTGAATCATGCAGAGTTTTGAGTTTGATGACATTTATCCTACCCTATAAAATTATTTGTTTCTATTGCATTTCCTTAGCCACATTTTGTGGGAGGAAGGAAATCACATTATCAATTGTGAAGCAGCATCAGAACAGCAGGATTTATATTGGCATTTAAATAACCAATAAAAAAGAAAATGTGATTGTGCCTTAGATACTCAAAACAATTGGCATCCACATAATGTTACTTGAATGCTCCTGGCATGTAGGCAGTTATGTAATTTCCTTTGCCTGTATTTCTTCAGATAATTTCTATTGAAAGTTTTTTTTCTGTTACCTCTAAACAAAGCTGTGATTAAAATGATACTGAGACATCTGAGAAAATTGATAATGATTAGAAAAATTACCATTCAATTGGAGTGTTATAAATAAAGTATAGTGTCCATAACTGCTTATGATAATTTGGGGATGTAGAACTGGAAAGTTTACAAGAACATCAGTTTTGCCTTTACTTATCCACACTTCTTATTGTCTTCTAATGTAGATGCCTTTAGTATAAATAGGTTTTTAGGGGAAAAGCAACTTTAAAAAATTCCACAGATATACATACTTAGAGCCAAGCCTTAGAAGAAACCTTTAAGATCAGTATTTGAATTTATCATTTTCTTGTGGTTTTATTTTATTTTTTAATAAAAAAGTTGTATTAGTCCATAAATTGGATTGAGGCAGCCTTCTAATGGAAGGAAAGTTTAAAAGTTCCTTTTCTGTAATTTAATCTAGATTTTATTTGGGAAGATTTATGATAACACAGATAAAGTAAACAGTAGAAGTTGTCCTATGCCAGCACTGGAAGTCTGAGGCATTTTTTAGCAAACCTAAATTTTCATCTTAAAGGTAAAAGGAATACCTGCGGATTTTATTCCGCTAGTCATTGCTGACTATAGAGGACGGTGTTCATCTCCATTTGAAGGACCATCTAGTCAGGGCTGTCCAAAGATGTTTCTGTGGTCATGTGACCAGCATGACATCACGGAACGCAGTTACCTTCCCACTGAAGTGATACCTATTTATGTATTTGCATTCACACACTTTCAAACTGTTGGGTTGGCAGGAGCTGGGGCGAGGTCTGGAACTCACCCCATCACATGATGCTCAGGTCTCAAACCTGGGCTGTAGGCTTATCAGCCGACAAGCCCAGCATCTTACCATGGAAGAATTGTATCAGACTATGATTCAGGCTAGTTTACAATTTTGAGGCATTCTCATGTTATGTTTATATAAAGACACTGATACTGCATTAGAAAAATTACTTTTAGAGTTGGGCATTTCTTAATAGCAGTGGCCAGTGAGCAACAATCTCGATAAGTGAATTCGAAAAGATTCCATTCAAAATTCATGCCACAGTCTTTAACACCATATGAAAGATTCAGCTCCTCAAGATGAAGGAGTGCAGGAACAAGCAGGTTCAAATCAAAATGGTCCATAGAAGGTTCGTCTAGTCCGGCATCACTTTCAGTATCAGAGACATCTTCATCTTCCTTCTTTTGATCTAGCTTCACTGGTGGAAGGAACTGGTCAATCTCTATCTTTTTCACATATTCCGTGCAGAGTGGAATGAGGTCGAGAATTTCGTTGGGACTAGTAATATCTGGAATGTAAAACTTCAAAATGTTTTCCAAATGGCGTTCAAAAAACATCCGTTTCCAACTGTGTCCATAGGCGGATACATCACAAACTGTCCATCTTTCAGTACAGCACCGTTTCCAGTAGCCCTCATCGCTGATCAAATTTGCAGTCACCGTGAGTGGTAGGCTTGTGGAAATCTTTTCTAGCACTTTCTTTTGGTGATCAGGAAGTAGCCTTTCCAATATAGGATTGTCTGGTTGGAAAGAAATTTCAAGGGATTATAGAGAGCTTTTCACAGATTTATCTGTATGTCACTTAGAGTAGCTTAGAGTAGGCTGTTTTAGTATGTCTTCCATCAAAAAAAAAAAATCTTCCCAGTTTGGCAAGTATGATGAGAACATGATTTAAAATATTTGCTTGTCTTCACAAAACTGCCATTTTCAGGCAGAGATCTTAAATCATTAGGGTTCATATACTATGTTATAGCAGAGATGGCAATTATTCAAATTAGGCAAAATTCTGAATTAAATGAGTTGACTAGCAGAGTTAGCAGGGATTTGGTCTGTGGTACAACTATTTAACAGATTTTTAAAAGTCATCCCATCTAATTTCCTTTTTCCTCAACTGACACTCAATAACAGATATTTCCAAGCGGTATTAAATGATTCTTCTTCAGCAACCCAATTTATATAGGAAAGCTGTGTGACTTACTTTCAAAATTGTTGATTATGTGCTGGATGCAGAGCTCTGTGAGCGGTGGAACTATGGCTAGATTCCATTCAGGATCTTCAGCAATAAGCCGTCGCATTCGTCGGGGATTAGCTGCCGGATTTTTTATTGTTACATGACTTGGAGGAGGGACTGGACTGACCTCTGTGGCTACATTTTCCTGCATCCTGCTGGGCTGCTGTAATGTTTCTCTGTCCCCTAATTAAAATGGAAGAAAGTTATGTGCAAACTTGATAGACAATGAAGTTCTACAGCTACTATCCATTGAAGAAATGTTTACAAAAAAAGAAGTAAAAGTCTATAGGAAGTTAAAACTCACCCCTCTCCTAGAAAAATGAAATATCCTGGAAAATATAGAAAAGGCAGAATGTTATATTTCCCTGGATAAGAAATGGAGAAGCATGTTTTTAAGCAGGAAGCAGACTCACTCTTAATAGCCCCCACCTTTGTCAATGGGCCTTTAAAAAAAGCCTGGGCCAGTCAATTCTACTTAACAAAGATTTCTCCCCTTCAACTCCAGGGTGATGGGATTAAGACATGATAGTATTAGCCCTTTACCCATTTCACCACAGGGCACTTGGGAAGAAGCAATGCTCAACCAAACTTGGACTCGAGACAGCCTACAGAGTTGTCCTGCACGGCCCCATGGGAGTCTGACAACCAATCAGAATACAAGATCAAGATCAAAGGCCAGGGAGGGCATAAAACCAGGAACTTTCAGCATCTCTCTCCCTTTCTTTTCTTCACCCAACATCTTGAAGCATGTGATCCCCCTTTTCTGTTCAGAAGCTCAAGCCATGTGATTCTGTTCACCATTAAACCATCTTTCCAAGCACCTCCATGTTTCCAGTGTCTTTTTTCACACTTGGAACTGAACCCAGAAGAACATTTCTTCCAACAAGTCAAAATAGACTTATGACTATTATGGTCATAAGTCAAGGATAACCTGTAATTGCTAGTTACACTGGGTAACTGTTAAAGCCCCAAGTAAAAAAAATATGCAAACAAGGAATAGGTAGGTGCTTTACTGATTATAGAAAAGCCGTTGATAATGTTATCATATCAAGTTGTGGAATGACTTTGAAGAACTAGGAATCCCAGAGCCACTGGTTGTCCCCTGCAAAATCCATATATGGGACAGAAAGCCTCTGTCTGGACAGAATATAGCAAACAGACCAGTTCCAGGTTAAAGGGTTAAAGGCTGTATACGCTCCAGGTTAAAGGCTGTATATGCTCTCCTTAATCCTTGGCTTCTCCTATTTATTCTACTTATGTGCTGAATACTGTATATATTGAAGGAAGGTGGAGTGGAAGAAGAGAAATGTGGCATCAGATTTGGAGAAAGAAACATCAATAACCTGTACTATGCAGATGACACACCTCTGATGTCTGAAAATGCAAATTATCTGGAAGATCTGCGCACAAAACTGGAGAGAATGCTTCTACTAATGTAGCCTCAGGTTTTACTGTCGTTTTAAGCTAGTGTATCATTCTGCTTGCTGATGTCCAGCTGTTAGTTCACCAGAAGCTCTAAATTCTTTTCTCCCATGTATTTTTTTTATCTGTATTTTTTCCTTTTGGATTAATTGGTCATATTAACCAATCCCCTTTGCTTGGCATTGTCCAGTTTAAAAAAAGCATCCCTTTCATTTGATTCTTTAGGTTTCTCATAAAGAAAGCAAACAACAAAAGCCAAATATAGAGCTTTGCGAGATTCTATATTTGTCTCCAGATTAGTGCAGAATCATTTATTAACACCCTATAGGTGCAGTTGTTCAACCAGTTGTAAACCAATTAAGATGTAGTACTTCCTATGTTATACTAATTCCTCATGTCCACAAGAATGTGATGAGAGATTTTGTCAAATATTTCACCAAGATCAATTCTTACTATTTTCTTTTCATTTCATTGATAAATTAAACTAGTTACTCTGTCATAGAAAGACTTCTTTTAGACGTCCTAATGCTGAGCCTGGTAATGTCAGATATTCTTTTCTAAATAGCCACAAACATTTCACTCAACCATCTGTTCTAATACTTACTCAGGAGACAGTAAACTAGTCTGTAATTTTCTTATTCAGGAGCAGTAAACTAGTTGGTAATTTCCCTTTGTTTCATACTATGACTATATTGGCTCTTTTCCAGTCCCCTACACTGTCTCCAAGATTTTCAAAGACTACAATCAACATTTCTGAAATCAGCTCTCCAGCTTAATGTCTATGGAGATTCTCAATCATCCAGGTCATGGGAGTTCTTTAGTTTGCTCCCTATCTGAAGCAAATGAGCCAGAACTTTTTGACTTCTGATTGCCTGAACACTGCTCTTCTCATGCACCCAATACATATTTGCTCTATTTCCCTATCCATATAGCTATACGCAACACCACAAACATAATTGGCTGTTGTATTTCCGTGTTTAATCTGAACAACAAGAACCAACCTGATGTAGTAGTTGAAGCACAAAGCTAGAAATGGGGATACCATGAGGATAGCCCACTAGGTGACCTTGCGCCAGTCACTTTCTCTCAGCTCTAGAAAGAGGAAAATTCATTTGCTTTTGATTCTATGCCTCTGTTTATACAACCAATGATTGTATTAGCTTTTTTGGCTGCTAACTCACACTGCTGGCTCATGTTTAAGTGTTCATCCACTAGGATTCCAAGATTCCTCTCACAGTTACTGTTTTGGAGCCAGGTTTCACTTACTCTGTGCTTGTGCCTTTGGTTTTCCCTGTCTAGGTAAAATCTTACCAAGAGCTAGTACAGGCAGTCACTAAGAGTCAAGACTAACTAGAAGACACCAAAGGAGGAAACAAAAACAAAAGCAAAAATAAATGTGAAGAATGGAAATCTAAAAAATGCTACTCCCTCCACCCATGCAAGAAATAACAAAGACATGGTTCCTACTTCACTACTGATAATGGTGTTGCAGAGACTTCCTTGATCATATTCCTAGCAGACAGTAGCAAACTAATACTATATGATGGTAATTGAAGGCATCTGGGATGACATATCACTAAAATCATGATGGTGATCATGACATCACAATTTAAATTCTGATCCACATGCTTAGACTATCAAGATATAGTATATACAAACAGTGGGGGCTTGAATACCATTGCTGCAATTACCATATTGACTTTTTGAAAACTTCTAACCCCTAAAATCTAACTGCTCAACTAAACATTTTTATTGCTTCCATTTATCTGGCCACTGTGAGCAACATTACACTAATGACATTTTGTTGCTCTAATCTCATTGGTATGGATGGACAGATAAATTAAGAAAAGCTAGTATTTATCATCTAAAGATTTGAGAAGCAAAATCCCTACAAATTAGTAGACAAGAGAGAAAAAAACCCACTATCTGCTAGCAGTTTATGAAAGGCAAGAATGTAAAAATTGTTAAAATTAAAAAATTAAATTATATATAAATTAAAACATCAATACAACAATGTAAGTTTATGATGGAAAGATACTACATAATATAGAGAATTATTTCAAAAGAAATAGTTTATTCATCATATGTTCACATGATTTTGATTCTATGCTTCTGTTTATAAAACCAAGGATTGTATTAGTTTTTCTGACTGCTGCTGCGCACTGCTGGCTCATGTTTAAGTGATCATCCACTAGGATTCCAAGGTCCCTCTCACAGTTACTGTTTTTGAGCCAGGTTTGCATAATCTACACTTGTACTTTTAGTTTTTTCTGCCTAGGTGTAAAACCTTCCTTTCCCCCTACATTAAATTTCATATTGTTGGATAGGGCCCATTGTTTAAGCCCGTCAAGATACTTTTGGATCCTGAGCTTGCCTTTTGGGTATATTCCTGCCAACTTAGTATCATCTGCAAATTTGATGAGTTCTCCTTCTCTTCCCTCATCTAAGTCATTTATGAAAATAATGAAGAGTACGGGGCCTAAAACGTAACCTTATGGTACCTCACTGCTTACTTCCCTCTATGCAGATTTAGTACCATTAAGGACTACTGGTTGAGTACGGTTTGTCAGTCAGTTACAAATCCATTGTGTGGTGATGCTGTCTAGCCCACATTTTTCTAGCTTACCAAGAAGTAGTTTATGGTCTACTTTGTTGAATGCTTTGCTGAAGTCTAAGTATACTATGTCCACAGCATTTCACTGGTCTACTAACTTAGTCACTCTGTCAAATAATAAAATAAGATTGGTTTGGCATGATCTGTTTTTAACAAACCTGAGCTGGCTATTAGTTATAATTTTGTTTCTAGATGTTCACAAATCTGTTTTTTTTTAAAATATTATTTCCGGTATCTTCCCAGGTATTGATGTTAAGCTGATTAGTCTGTAGTTTCCTGAGTTTGTTTCCCTGCCCCACCTTTTTTTTTGAAGATGGGAACCACATCAGTTCCTTTCCAATCCTCCAGGTGCTCCAGGATTTTTTAAAAAAAGATTTAGTAAAATGGTTCTGAGATAACATCTGCCAGCTCCTTCAGAACACTAGGATGTAATCCATCATACTAATTAATGCGTCATTTTAAATTTCTGATTCAATGATTTCCTCTAAATTTTAAAATAACCTCCAGTCATTGCAGTGGGAGCTACTTTTATATATACAGTACACACACACACACACACACACACACACACACACACACAATTATACAGTATGTCTCACTGTACGCAATTTGCAACATATGCTGTAATTATAAATTCTATTCATTCTGCAATTTTATAACCTCTTTCTCCTCCCCAACGCATATTGACAGCCTTTGCAAAATTCCAACAGAATCTTATCAGTGGAAAATAAATGTCTCTAGTATTTCACCTAATAACTTGCTGTTATCATGGACTGGTTACAAATGAATAGAACTACAATTGTGGAGTCCTTTGTGTTCTCTGAGCTTGGTTGTATGCTTACAGACATTTGGTTACCAGACTAGGTAAAATCACTATTGTGATACACTATTTCAATAACATACACCAAGCTCAGATGCTGCACACACACTCGTCTAATATTGTCAAAGACCTTCTACACACAATATTATTGGGTTCCAAGTTCCAGAAATCTCTGGGATTGGGAATGGAGGCAGAGATTAGCTGTGAGAACTGGGAACCAATAATAAAAAAATCAATATGCAATCCAAATAGTATAATATCCAGCTATTTGAGCCAGTCTGGTGTAGTGATTAAATGGTTTTATTTCCCCCATAAAGACAAAGGCTATTGGATGACTTGGAAACAATCACTTTCTCTTATCCCTAAAAAGGTATTAGTGAACCATTCTGAAAATTTGGCAAAAAAAAACACATGGACCTGTGAATATAAAATCCAGGAGTTAATAATTCAAACAACAA